CCTCAGCCACTCTGCTCTGACTGCCATATAGGCGGTATCCTTCTAACACACAGGACTAAATGATGCTTACTAGCTTTGGGGATATTGACGAAGAGTCAAACTCTGTAAAATATTTGAAGAGATTTATTCTGAGCCTAATATGAGTGACCATGGCCTGTGACACAGCCCTCAGGAGGTCCTGAGAACATGTACCCACCGTGGTCAGGGTACAGCTTAGTTTTACACATTTTAGGAAGGCATGAGACATTTAAGAAATACGTTGGTTTGGTTCAGAAAGGCAGGACAACTCAAAGTGGGGGCTTCCAGGCTACAGGTAAATTTAAACATTTTCTGGTTGACAGTTGGATGACTTTATCTGAAGACCTGGGATCAATAGAAAGGAAATGTTCCAGTTAAGATAAAGGATTGTGGAGACCAAGTTTTATTGTGCAGAGGAAGCTCGCAGCAGACTTCAGAGAGAGCAGGTTGTAAAATGTTTCTTACTGGACTTAAAACGGTGCCTGGCTCTTAGTTGATTGTCTCCTAGATCTGGAAAGGAAGAAGGAAAACAAAGGGGGAAAGGGATTCTCTATAGAATGTGGATTTTTCCCACAAGAGACTTTGCAGGGCAATTTCAAGTTACGGCAAGGAAATATATGTTGGGGTAGAACATTTTTATTTTCTTCTTTGTCATGCCAGATTAGAAAGCAAGTCACAATATACAGGGTTAAATAAAACCCATCTGATGAGAGTTTATGGTTTGTAGGGCATGACTCCCCAGACCCCTTAGACAAGAATTTGGGCAAGATACAAAATCAGACCTTAGTCCTCAGGAGAAGGGAAAGAAAGTTACTCAAATCTAAAAACAGACATTTTAAAAAAAACCAAAGAGTGTCAGTGAATACATAATGAAATACTACATTTTTATGGTTATGAACAAGCTATATCTTTCAGAAAATACATGCTATAAATGGGTAAAAAAGACAATATAAGATTAATATTATTTAATAAAATGATTTATTAAAATAAATTATTTAATTTAAATATTTAATTAAATATTAAATATTGCAGTCAACTTTCAGAGTGAGTCAATTAACACCAGACCTCCAGTCTAAGCCTCCCAGATACCAGGAATCACTTCAGACACATGAACTTGGTAGTGGTGTACAAGGCCCACGTAGAAGACTCTTGCAAATAATCCAAGAAGGAGCTCATTATGTAACCCAGGATGCCCAGGTTTTTGGGGGTATGTGCTATGAAAAAGTATCCACCTGTAATTGTTGCACCTTGAGTTCTTGTTGTTTCAAAAAGTTCCAGGAAGATGGGAGGCCAAGGTGGGTGGATCACTTGAGGTCAAGAGTTTGAGACCTGCCTGGCCAACATGGTGAAAGCCCCCTCCCTATTAAAAGTACAAAAATTAGCCGGGCGTGGTGGTGCACGCCTGTAATTCTAGCTACTAGGGAGACTGAGGCAGGAGAATTGCTTGAACCCGGGAGGCAGAGGTTGCCGTGAGCCAAGATCGCGCCACTGCACTCCAGCCCGGGTGACAGCGCGAGACTCTGCCTCAAAAAAAAAAAAAAAATGTATTAGCCAGGTGTGGTTGCAGGTGCCTGTAATTCCACCTACTTGGAAGGTTGAGGCAGGAGAACTGCTTGAACCCAGGAGGTGAAGTTGCAGTGAGCTGGGACCGCACCATTGCACTCTAGCCTGGGCAATAAGAGCAAAACTCTCTCAAAAAATAAAAATAAAAAATAAAAATTTTAACAACCAATTATTTTATCTTAGGATAAAAATTTACCATATAAGTTTTTTTACTGTATCAATTGTATTTTCCTAAATTTATATTTTGATTAATAGACCTAAATACTTTTAGTCCTTTTATAAAACCTAAGAAGCCAAGAACAAACGTCTATGTATTTAGCAATTTGTTTTTTATTTTTAAATTGGGATATGATCCAGACATTTAATAAGTATCATTTAACATAATTTTAACATTTTAAAATTACAAGAAAAGCTCATTTATAAATGTTCATTTCATTTATAATATTTATTTATTTCTCAATTATTATTCCTAAATTTATGAAAATTGAGATAGAACTAGTCATTTTTTTTATTAATCAGTTTTATAGACTGTTACCATCAAGGGTTTATCTTGATATTAAGGTTTAAGTAAGAACTTTAAAGTTAAAAACAGCCACCCTGTTGATAACTCAGAAAAGTTATAGCTATTTTTATTAAATCAACAATATTAATCATATTTATTTTAAAACTATATAAACAAAGATAATTTTGTTTTAGGCTTTATGACTTTAAAACATCTAGCAGAGGCAAATATAAAACTATCTGACCAGTAAACCCAGATAAAAATGTATGCTGACAATTTTGAAGACATTTCTAATTTTATTTTATCCACAATTTTAAAACCAATTAATTTATCAAAGATTTACTTAAGCCACATCAACTAAAAAAAACTGGGAGTTAATTACTATACATTCTATATGAGTGCTAATTTATTTAAACAAATCAGAATAAAATTTCTTAAGGGATTTCTGGCTGACTACACCAGATTTTATGTAGATACAACATATAACATAATATATGTACATACACATAAACATATTTAAACACATATACATACATATAAAGATATCAGAACTTTTATTTTAGAATTTTAGTCATGATATAGTAAAACACAAAAAAATTCACCAGTTTATAAAAATGATTAGACGCAAATTATTTTTCTGACAAAATGGGCTAAGGATAAGCTTTAAGCTTTTTTAATAAGCAATCTTATAAAGGCTGTGAATCAAATTTGGGATAAAGCAGTTTGAGTCACTCACCAATGCACTGAATTGAACAAAGAATAGTTAACTGTGAAAGTGTGCTGAATTATGTGAGTAGGACCAAAAGACAAGAGTGATTTTTAACAAGGTTTATACAGTATTTTCTTGGACTCAATTCTTTGTTGTTGAAGATAAGAATGTTGCCATTCTTTTTTGTATAGGGAGGAAGGTTTCACATGGGAATTTCATCTTTGCTTTAAAAAAAAAAAACAGTAGGAAGGTCAAAATGACTTTCTTTTATATCTGCTGGTTTTCAAGTGTTTTTGTTTTTTATGTAGTATGTTAGAATAGCTGTTTAGAGAAGGATAAAGTGGGGATATTGTAAGAAGGGGAGGTGAAAGGTCAGGAAAAGAAAAAGTTCCAACCACCTTTGAGACAGTATTTTTTAACAAGGCAATTATTTGCATCCTGAATGTATTTTGTTTTAATTTTTTTTGGCCTCAAGATATCAATGAAATATGCATATCTTATTTGGAGTATATGATTTTATAGCCTCCATCTTTTAGTTCAGTTTTAAGAACAACGGACTAAATGATCCCTGTAATGTTTGAATATGTTTCTAGCTGGAGTTCTAGAAAATATTCTGGCATGACTTTGAACTTTGAGAGCTCATTTCGTGGGTGCTCTGATTTAATGCCAACTATGCAAAACCCAAGTAAATGCAAGCACTGAATACACAAACGCCAATTAAATAAAAGCCCAGACAGAAAATAAAATACATGCTTACCAGTAAGAATGATAAGCCTTCTCCAAAGAAAGGGAAAAATTCCCTCATCCAACCCTCAAGGTCCAAACCTCGCAGCTGAGGTCAACTGGGGGAGAATAATTCTACCCAACAGATCTACCAAACAAGAGGGGGAACGACTTCTCCCTAATCATATCCTAAATAAAACAGAACTCAAACCATATTTGAGAGTTCTGTCCTAGAGATACTCATTGGGAGGAGAAAGGATGACCTGTGAAAGTCGTGGGGGTGTGGGGGGTTCAAAGGGCCCCAACACAGGTACCTCATGCCATAGCCCCGAAGGCCAGTGATTCTCCCTGAGGTGAGTCAGCTTTGTATCCCACTTCTGACACCATGTATGTCAAAGTCAAAATGAAAATGTAGACACAAAACTCTAAATTTAGTGTTTTATTTGAGAAGGAAGAATTTCAATTCTAGGTGATCTTTAGTGTGTTCAACAAAGAGAAGGTTGAGGGTTTTATTTTAAACGAAGAATGTTACTTGTGGTCTTAAGAGAAAGCTCATTGGTATTAGTAAAGCTCTAGGGAGCTGGCAAGTTCCAACTGGTGAGCAACGGCCATAGGCAAAATTAGTCCTAGAGTTACAGCAAGTTATCTCAACAGCTATAGACAAAACTGGTCTCAGGTTACAGCAAGTAGTTTCAGTAGCCAGGCTCACAGAGAATTATATTCTTTGAGAAATATTATGTGTGTCAAGTACTTTTTCCCCCTAGCTTCTCGACTCTGTTTTAGTTGGGTGTGACAAGAATGACTCAATTCATATGAGAATCACAATTATAAGAGAACAATTATAAGAGAATCACCAATTTATGTAAGCACTTAGGCTAAAAAAGTAGTAGTAAAAACATCCTATGTGGCCAGCAGCCTTGAAACAATAGAATTTAGTCATATAATGATTACCTGCATCAGACATGCTTTCCATCTAAGTAGTTTCCCCAGTGATTTTTGCCAGTATTCTAATTCTACATGGAGTAAACACAAACTGTAAATGTTAAGAAATTGCCCATAGCATAATAATCACCTTTCAAACCTCTCATACGTTAAAGTTACTTTTTAATAAATATTATTTTCGAATAATTTGGAGTTACAGAGAAAGTAAGATTCCTTCAAAGTTTGGTGAGTTTGCCGGTCACGGTGGCTCACGCCTGTAATCCCAGCACTTTGGGAGGCCAAGGAGAGCAGATCATGAGGTCAGGAGATCGAGACCATCCTGACTAACACGGTGAAACCCCATTTCTACTAAAAAAATACAAAAAGATGAGCTGGGCGTGGTGGCGGGTGCCTGTAGTCCCAGCTACTCCGGAGGCTGAGGCAGGAGAATGGTGTGAACCTAGGAGGCAGAGGTTGCAGTGAGCCGAGATAACGCCACTGCACTCCAGCCTGGGTGACAGAGCAAGACTCTGTCTCAAAAACAAACAACAAACAAAAAAAAAGTTTGGTGAGTTTTTTTTCAAAGTTTTATTCCTTAGATATTATCTGTATAATCAGATAGACTGGGCTAAGCCACAGCCTCATTCCTTGTCAACTGGATAACTTCAGAAAAGTGTTTTAACTTCTCCAAATCCTAGTTTCTTCCACTATAACATGAGAATAGTCAACACTGACAATGAAGGATGAGCATAAGGATTAATGAGATAGGGTGTGTAAAGCTAGCCTCATTCATGGCAATGGTCACTGCTCAGCAAGGGAAAGCAGCCCTTATGACTATATTGCTGAGATTTCATTAACTAACCTTTTGCCCTATTAATTTCATGACCCCTTTTTTAAACAGGTAAGTGTCAGAAGAAGATCCTATAATGTCAACGTGTGTCCTATAAAAGTTAATCAGGACTTCAGGATATCTCGAACTTAATTGTTCACATGCCCATTTGATCATTCTTTTCTCTTTCTTTTCCTTTCCTTCCAAAATAAATGTCTCTTTTCTAAGCTTTAAGTAAAGAGCATGTGACCATTCCTCAATGAGCTCTTTTACATGTTTTGCATTGTTTGGCTGAGAACCAACTTGAATGTTTTTTAGACAAATTGTGGTGATTTCACCATCCACTTTCTCCTGACTCAGAATGCAGAATTTTTTCAGTGTGCTTTCGTAAGATCTACACTTGTGGTGCAGGTAAAGAAAAACATCTGTGTCAAGCACAAGCATTTCTCCACTTCTAGCAGTCTCAGGTACTAAAGTCCTGACTGATGCCAAAGGGTTATTACTTCTCTGTAGACTCCTTTGGGGATTTTGTCTATTCCACTTTCTTCCCTCACTGGTAAAATTTCTGTCTTTTTCTAAGAGAGAACATGCTCTTACTAGCAAAGATTCTTTGAGCCTCTTGACAGCCAGAAATGATCCTTCCACGGAGATTCTTCCATTGGGTTTCAAAGGACTGAAGTTTAAACTCGGGATTTTTTTTTTCAGGTCCTTTACCAGAGTTTCTAGAGTAACTTCTTTCCCAAATACAGAAAGATCAAGGATGGCATTTACAGAGCTGAAGATCTAAAATTAAAAAGAGAGAAAAGAAAACAGTACTGCTTAGTGGGAGAGACTACATAAACATGTTCTTTTCTGCCATTTTCTTGTCTCTGCAGAAATTGCACTAAACCAGGCCCCAGGTGCCTGCCCCAGACTTCCTGACTTCTTGTACCAGGGCAGCCCATCAAAGTGATCCCATTTTGTTCAATTTGGGATTCACACTCCCTCACCACATACCCCATAACAGAGGTGCTCAAATAATTTTTAGAAGCAGAATTTTTTTTTGAAACAGTTTTATGCAGAACCATACATATAAATTGCTCTGGTTCTGCTTGGATAGGGGTCCCCCAAGAGTCATTCCCACCCCCAGTCTAAAGTTCATCAGATGGCTGCATACAACTCTGAGTGTCTTACAGAATCAAGTTAGTAAACCATTGCTTTGTATTTTAACTTTTTCCTCTTTTTCTTATTTCCTGTCTCTTCAAAGCTTCTTTTTAATGTTCATTCTAATTGTGTTTTCCCAAAATAAGCCTTTAGGTTGGTACCTGCCATCATCCATGACAGTATAAGAGCTTACCATCACTTTAAAAGCATTAAGTGAGGCTGGGCGTGGTGGCTCACCCCCGTAATCCCAGCACTTTGTGGGGCTGAGGTGGGAGGATTGCTTGAGTCCAGGAGTTTAAGACCAGCCTGGGCAACATAGGGACACCCTGTCTCTACAAAAACTGCAAAAATTAGCCAGGCCTGGTGGTGCACACCTATAGTCCCAGCTACTCGGGAGGTTGAGGCAGGAGAATCACCTGAGCCCAAGAGGCAGAGGTTAGAGTGAGCCAAGAGTATGCCACTGCCTAGGTGACAGAGCAAGACCTTGTCTCAAAAAATACACATTTTGTAAAATAAAACATTAAGTGACACACATAGAAAGATAAAAACAGATGAGGCGATAACCAAACTTTCAAGGGCCAGGGTTGGCCTTTAACACTGACTCAGGGAGTTTGCATTTTCTTTCCTAGAAGTCATGGAGTGAGAGCACTTTGTGTCTCCTGCCGTAAGAAAAACTTCAAAGAAGAAATGGGATACAGGACTATCAGTACACCTTCAGCATCACACCTTACCTTGTCACTAAAATGAGAGACTGTGAGTTCAGCATGTCTAGCCTTCCTTGCTAGCCGGTGTTTCTTTTGTCTGATGACATTCTCTGCAACTAAGTGGAAACACTGGCATCAAAAGTGTTTATGGCACGATACACTAATAATTTTTTAATAAAATAGGCATATTCAATTATACAAGAATGTCTAAGATTTTTTTCTACAAATTTTTCCTCTAAATTCAACATTCAGATCACTTTTTTGTTGCACTTTAACTCATTAAAGTTCATTTTATGTGTAAATATGATCCAAATCACATTATAAAACACACAAGGCATTATATGCATGAATTAAAAAAAATAAAGGTATATCCCCATCTCTGTTAATTCACAAGAAGACTTTACATTCTTGATTCAAGTTATCATACTATTCTGGTTTTCCTCCCAATTCACTGGCTGACCTGCTGAGTCTCCTTCCTAATCCTCCTCTCTTCCCATTCTCTAGACGTTGGCAAGACCTGGACCTCAGGCCTCATGCTTCTTTGCTAACCTATACCCATCCCATGGGTGATCTCAACAATCTCCATGGCTTTAGACACCATCTCTACATGAATCGTTTTCAAAATTCTATCTTCAGCCACGATCTTTCTCCCTTCTGCCTGTAGAACTCTCCACCTCATTATCCTAATAGGCGTCTCATTGACCCAAACTGAACTCTTGATAACTATCTCCCGTCCAAATGTATTCTATCCCCAGTGTTCTCTACCGCAGAAAATGACACTTAATCCATCAACATGTCCTGAATACCCACCAGTTCTTATCACCTGCCCTGCTACTGCCCTATCAAAACCAACGATGAGTAGTAATTCCTGTTCTTCAAACAGCTGCTAGGTTGCTCATTTAAGAAAAGGCAGTCCAATCTTGTCAATCCCCTGCTTGAAACCTTCCCTGTCACCCAGAATAAAATCCCAGACACCTTGCCATGATCCAGCAATTACTGAGCATAAACTGGCCCCAGCTCCCCATCTAACCACATCTCCTATCACTATCCCCCAGCTCATTCCACTCCAGCCACACAGGCCTCCTTGCTGTTCTTCCACACACCCAGCATGCTCCCCACTCACAGAATTACCAGTCCTTCCCTTGGCCTAGAATGTTCTCCCTGCTTATCTGCATGAATCATTCCCTTACTTGGCTTCTGCTCAAATGTCATCTAAACAGAGCATTTCCCTTCCTATTCATCTAAAACAGCACTTTCCTTCATATTCTATCCCTTTATTCTTCTTTATATCTTGTCGTAGCACTTATTATTTATGAATATACAATCATAAATAAAAATATTTAAATAAACAAATATCTAAGTTGTATATAAATAAAGCACCCAACATATTATAGATTCATTTGTTTAAAATCTGTCCAGATGTACATTTCAAGAAAAAAAGACTCTGCCTATTTCACTCATTGCTGTATCCTCAAGACTTAGCATGTTGCCTGGTAAATAATAGGTACTCAGAAAATATTTATGAATGAATGACCAAGGCCAATCTCTCCCTCTCAATCTCTCTCTGAGTTGCCAATTCAATATATAAAATATTAACTTTCAAAAACACTACCATCTCCTTAGAGAAATACTGAGCCACTGAGCCCCCGAGCCCCCTCCTGCCATCCCTTACCTGAACATCCCCATTGAGAAGAAATGACTTAATTAATGGTGACAGCTAAAGGTACTGAAAATCCATAGTGCCTTGGATCTTTCTCTGGACTCTGTCTTCCCTCAAACAAAGCAAGGTCTCTTCCTCTGCTCCTACCCCCATGTGGTATGTTCACCTCCAAGAGCCTGGCATGGAGACTTGTTTTTCTCTGGCAATGTATTTTCTGCCAGCCACTAAGTTGTAAAGAAGATTGCCCGTTCCATGAGGCTGAAGGGGTGTGTGTGCTCTGCCAACCCAGTTTCCTCACCATCTAAGGCAGGGATTGGGTGCAGGGAGCAGAATGACTCAATCTGATCTCAGAGTCAAGCCATACTTCTCAATTCAACTTTGCCAGTAATGAGGCAGATACGATATTAGAATATCTACTTATTCTAAAATATATAGTTGAGGCCACCTGAAAATTCCCAAAGTAGTCATCTCGTTTATGAGATTATATATCATCTTTATGGGGTTTTTCTCCATTTTGTCTGTATTTTACAGGTTTTCTACAATAAAATGTAACACTTTCACCCCAAGATATAGACAGATTCAAAATTCAGAAAAAAGTTTTCAAGAATTTGCCAGTCACTAGCAACTTTATCATGAGCCATTTTCATATCTTTTCTTCCTAAAGCAGTATCATGCCATTTGTATATTCACAATAAAATATTTTTTTAAAAAAAAGTTACTTCAGCCAGGCGTGGTGGCTCACGCCTGTAATGCCAGTACTTTGGGAGGCCAAGGCAGGCAGCTCACTTGAGGTCAGGAGTTTGAGACCAACCTGGCCAACATGGTGAAACTCCGGTGCTCCTACTAAAAATACAAAAGATTAGTTGTGGTGTGATGGTGGCACACCTCTCGTAATCCCAGTATTCAGGGAGCTGAGCGCAGGGAGAACTCACTGGACCTGCGGCGCACCCCGCCCCCGGCCCGCCGCCGAGGTCGAGGTTGCCAGCTGAGCGAAGCACCACGGCCGCTTGCACTCTAAACCTGGCGCACAGCGTGGAACTGGTCTCAAAACCCCACAACCCACACAGACTTAAAAAAACGCTACTTTTACGAAACCCCCTTTCGCAGTTCTGTGGATCATTTTAATAAAATAGACCATTTTAAACATTGCATTGACAGAGCCATTTTCTAAAATTACCACCACAGACATTCGCACACCTCCCTTGGAACTAACCTTTTATTTCTTTGTCACCCAATGACCTCCTCTCATTGCCACATCCCTTGGCTTCCCTTGGTCGGCGGTACGTATCAGTCTGCAGCATCTCCACCCTCAATTCCTTAAATGCTTGGACACGTGGCTCTGTTTACTACCGTAGGGCAAAATTTGATCCTAAAAGGCCACTGGCACACGCCGCGCACACCTTCCTAGCCGTTCTTTCAGGGAGTTTGGATTCCCTGTGCCCCTTCAAACTCGATGGCCTCTGCTAAGAGACAACCCCCCGTACGGTTATCTCTTCTAAACCAACTACACCAGACGCTCCCTACCGCTAGATAAAGGCGCGCAGCACCCACACCCCTCACGTAGAGCAGATTCCGACCTTCCTCTCACGCCTCACCTGGCCGTCGCATGTCTCACTGTTTAAGCAATACTTGTTCCCCAAGGGGTCGCTCACGGGCGCCGGAGTACGAACTCCGTTGCTTCACAGCCATATACCCAACATAAACTCCTGCTCCCGACCCTCGCCATCCTTACGGCCTCACACTCGTCTAAATATTAAACCCTCTTCTTTCTTTTTTTTTTTTCTTTTTTTAAATGGACGTCCTTTACTCCGGCTGGGTACGGTGCCCAGTGGCGTGTCTCAGCTCCCCACCCTACACACCTCTGCCTCCTGGGTTCAAGCAATTTTCCTGCCTCAGCCTCTCAAGTAGCTGGGATTGCAGGTGTCCACCACCACACCCAGCTAATTTTTGTATTTTTAGTAGACACGAGGTTTCACCGTGTTGGCCAGGCTGGTCTCAAACTCCTGACCTCAAGTGATCTGCTGCCTCAGCTGCTCAAAGTGCTGGGATTACAGGCATCAGCCACCACACCCAGCCACCCTTTTTTTCATAAGTTGAAAATACTGGTTAATATTTGTCTGATTTAGGAAGCCCTAAAAATAATGGAAGAAGTTACCATCCTTTTTTTAATAAGTTGAAAATATTGGTTAATATTTGTCTGATTTAGGAAGGTCTAAAAATAATGGAAGAAGTTACAAAGGAAAAGATCAAAAATATAAATTTAAAAATTTATTAATTAAAAATAAGTCAAACTAACCACAAAATATGGTATTTGGAGGTGGCTATATGTTTTCTTTACATTGTAGAGTCTAAAGTATGTGAGAGACTAAGAAACACATTCCCTACTTTGTCAGAATCAGGAAAGTTATCATAAAAAAAAAAAAAAAAAAACCCCTGGGCTATGTATAGTGGCTCATGCCTGTAATCCCAGCTCTTTGGGAGGCTGAAGCAGGCAGATCACCTGAGGTCAGGAGTTCAAGACCAGCCTGGCCAACATGGTGAACCCGTCTCTACTAAAAATACAAAAAGTAGCTGGGCGTGGTGGCGGGCGCCTGTAATCCCAGCCACTCGGTAAACTGAGACAGGAGAATCACCTGAACTCAGGAGGCGGAGGTTGCAGTGAGCCCAGATCATACCACTGCACTCCAGCCTGGGCAGCAAGAGACTCCGTTTCTAAATAAATAAACAAACAAACAAACAAACAAAGCCCTGGCAATAACATAGGGACTGCAACGGAGTAAATCCTGCCTTCCAGCACATATCTGACATGAAAGTCAGCCATAGCAAATACACACTATTGCAGACCCTGCCACCATGCTGGACACAGAGTATCAACTGCAAGTAAATCCTTCCTTGGGCTCATTCTCTTTGAACTTTTATTATCCAGTTAAGGCTTCTATTTAAATGTTTTAATTTGTCCCTCAGCCTCATTTAGGGAAATGGATTTATAAGCTTCTCCCAATTTTTATACAGTTAGTCCACCCGAGCTCAAACATAAGCTGTCCTAAGTTACCTGGGGTTGGACAGGACAGCTCATGGGCTACAGTAATGGTTAGCAGACCAGAAAGGAATTTGGGGCCCTCAGTCCAGAGGCCTCTCTATTCAATAGGACTCCACTGAAACTATTTCTGACCTACCAGATCAGGAAGACAGTGTAAGCACCCGCACACACACATACACACACATACACACACACACACCACACACACAATGTCCTGTCCATCCCAAGAGCCCCGTAAAATGAAAGTAAAACAATTTTAAAAAGAAGCCCGGGCACGGTGGCTCACACCTGTAATCCTAGCACTTTGGGAGGCCGAGGCGGATGGATCACCTGAGGTCAGGAATTCTAGACCAGCCTGGTCAACGTGGTGAAATGCCGCCTCTACTACAAATAAGCTGGGTGTGGTGGCAGGCGCCTGTAATCCAGATGAAACCTGGTCTCTACCAAAAACACAAAAAATTACCCAGGTGTGGTGGTGCACACCTGTAGTCCCAGCTAGTTACTCCAGAGGTGGAGATAGGAGGATCGGAGGATCGCTTGAGCCCAGGAGCTCGAGGCTGCAGTGAGCCAAGATGGCACTACGGCACTCCAGCCTGGGTGACAGAACAAGGTTCTGTCTAAAAAAAAAAAAAAAAAAAAAAAAAAGCCTGAATTGAACACTCCAGAGAGAATCTGCTAGCATTATATCCCAGGAACAAGTTCCCCCCATTTATGGATTTGAAGGGGCCCCAGCCCTAAAAATCATAAGTACTTGCCATGATTTAAGTAAGTATGGAAGAATGCAGACTGTGGGCAAGGTGGCTCAACACCTGTAATCCCTGACTTTGGGAGCCAAGGCAGGCGGATCACCTGAGGTCCAGGAGTTCGCGAGGACAGCCGGCCAACCTGGTGAAATCCCATCTCTACCAAAAATAACAAAAATTATCTGGCGGTGGTGGCACATGCCTATAGTCCAGCCTACTACTTTGGGGCTGCGAGACAGGAGAATGGCATTGAATCTGGGGAGGTGGAAGTGTAGGAAAAAAAAAACCACCATGCCACTCCAAGCCTGCCTAGCAATAAAGAGAGACCTTGTCCAAAAAAAAAAAAAAAAAAAAATCATGGAATGCAAAAAAGAAGAAAACAGAAAGAAGGAAGAGAAAAAGAAGAAGAAAAGAGAAAAGAAAAGAAGAAGAAAGAAGAAAGGAGACGAATAAGAAAGAAAGAGAAGAGAAAGAGAGAAAGAGGAAGGAAGGAGGAGGAAGGGAAGAGGAACGAGGGAAGGGGGGAATCCATCTTGACCCATTGTGCCTGGAACCATTTTCCTAGAAGTGAAAAGGAAAATTACACATAACATTGGAACCACAAAAAGAGAAAAAGTATATCACAGCACACTTATTGGTACCTGCCTATAAACAATATTTAACTGTTACATTATTATTGGTTTTTACTTTTAGACCAAACCTGCTAACTTCTTAAAAAAGGCCCAGGTGCCAATAGCTCACCGACTGTAAACCCCAGGCACTTTGGAAGCTGAGGTGGGCAGATCACTTGAAAGGCAAGAAGTTTGAGATCAGCTGGCACAACCATGGTGACACCCCATCTCTACTAAAAATACAAAAATTAGTGGTGGTGCCAGGAGCCTGGTAATCCCCTACTCCAGAGGCTGAGGAACCAGAATGGCTCTTGAACACGGGGAGTGAGGTTGCAAGTGGGCCCCAAGAATCGTGCCACTGCACTCCCAGCCCTGGGGTGTACAGAGTGGAGACCTCCTGTCTCAAAAAAAAGATTAAAATAAAATGAAAACAAAAAAATATGAAGGATTAAAATGGCTACAAAAATAGAAAAGTGCTCACCCCCTGTCAATGGTAAAGAATAAAGGCAGGGACATTGCATCATCAGAAAGCAAAAGCATAAAGAAAAAACCTTTAATTTTTCTAGTGAGATTCACTCCAACTCATTGTGGTTTTATTTCTTTGGGAGATCTTTCCCTTTGTTGTTCTTTTTTCCTTTCCTTTGAGCGGAATCTCGCTCTGTCACCCACCCTGGAGTGCAGTGGTGTGATCTTGGCTCACTGCAACCTCCACCTCCCAGGTTCAAGTGATTCTCCTGCCTCAGCTTCCCGAGTAGCTGGGACTACAGGCACCAGCCACCATGCCCGGCTAATTTTTGTATTTTTAGTAGAGACGGGGGTTTCACCATTTTGGCCAGGCTGGTCTCGAACTCCTGACCTCGTGCTCCACAACCCCCTTGGCCTCTCAAAGTCTTTTTTTTTTTTAGACAGAGCCTCGCTCTGTTGTCCAGGCTGGAGTACAATGGCACGACCTTGGCTCACTGCAACCTCCGCCTCCTGGGTTCAAGTGATCCTCCTACCTCAGCCTCCCGAGTAGCTGAGACTACAGGTGGGTGCCATCACGTCCCGCTAATTTTTGTATTTTTAGTAGAGACTCCTGACCTCACGTGATCCGCCCGCCTTGGCCTCCCAAAGCGCTGGGATTACAGGAGTGAGCCACCGCGCCCGGCAGGGAGATCTTTTTCTGCACTCCAACAATATCAAAGAAAAACATGCAATTAATTTAAACTCAGGAAATCTTACTTCAGTTCCATGCCCTCATTAGTACTAATACTGTATTTCTTTATTTGAATGTCTACATGTAATTTATCTTTAAAATCAAAGAAACTTCTCCCTGAACCAGTATTTTTAGGAGAAAAAAACATAAAGGTGTAAATTTTGTTTGGTAAGAACTAGTTTCTATGAATCATCTAATGAATTAGTACTTCAATGACTTGCCAGTATTTGTCCTTCGTTTCGTAGGTTGGAGAAAGTATGGCTAATACAGATAATTTTACTGAGGTCAGTTATGAATAATGAGGGTTATTAATCTCTTCTACCCACGATTAAGATAAAGAATTGTCCTAGAGAAAGACAGTCCTTTCAAGGACTTTGCAACCAGCAGCTTTTAGCCAAGAGATACTAAGGTGATGGCGCTTTTCCTTGCATCAGTATTGTGTTATAACAGACTTGGCCATCTTATCAGAAAGCAAAAAGTATATAGAAAAACTTTACTTTTGTAAGTAAGGCATTGGGAAGAAAAAGAAGATTCATTCACTGCATTTGTTTATATTGATTTTCTCAAAATCAGTTGTTCATTTTGAATGACGACGCCTTTACCGCCACCAGGTCAACAAAAACGCACTTGCCTCTCACAATTGCTTTTGCATTTCCGGGACTCTAGCATTTCAGAGCAGGAATTAAAGGCCTTGCCAAGGCTTTTAAGCGATTGATGGAAACAAAACAAAACACAGAGGCTACATTTTGAATTTGCTAACTTTTCTTCCTCACCAGCACTAATAGTAAAAACGTCCTTTGTGTCTCTAGAGGGAAAACTAAGACCACAAAAGACAAGAATTCGCACCAAGGCAGACATAAGACATGAGGATGTCTTCCTGACTTGCGTCCTCGTTCTTACTAGCCCTTTTCTACAGGCACTGTGGCCTCCATTTCTGGCTAATCAGTCCACTTTTGTTCCCCCCGAGGCGTGGGAGGCCAAAGTTAAGCCCTAATAGCCTGCGAAGCAGCTCCTCGAGGAAACGGCTGCGTCCCCGTCGCCTGTGCAGTGGGTGCGGGAGGTGGCAGCCTAGTCCTGCGCTTCTGGAGCGGGCCTACACCGCACCGCCGTATGTGAATTTCAGGAGCACGCAGCGCCGCCACCCGGGAAGTTGCAGCGAGGCTGACCTGAGTTTGCCCGCCGGGGTGGACGGCTCTCCAGGATCCCCAGGGCCCCTCCGCGCGCCGCCCCTTCCCGCGCAGCCCTGCACCCTGGCCCGTCGCGCCCGGTTCCGCGCCCTTCTAGGGGACCATGGCGACGGTGCAGGCACGGACCTGCTCCGCAAAATCCAAAGCAAAAGGAACTTGCCATGGCGGAGGAGAGACGCGCCCTCGGCGGCCGCAGGAAGCCCACAACCAGCGGAACGCGGGGGATGGGGAGAGGAGCGAGCAGGCAGGTTTTGGTTTCGTTTTTTTGTTCCCGCTCCCTTGGAGGCTACGAAGAAAAGGGCGGCCCTTCCACCCGCTCCGGCTGTCTGCTACCTCGTGGCCTGTGGGTGGGAGCTCGGACTCAGGAGTGCTGTTGCCAGCGCCTGCCCAGACGCCCTCCGTATTTTTGCAACCTTTGGAAGCACGCTGGAGAGAGGCCGAGAGGATTCCTCGACACGAAATTTGGGGATTCTGTGGGTGATGCATCAATGATTGCAATTTTGTTTTTACCCGTTTTGCTAAGCAGCAGCAACAACAGCAGAGTTGATTTAAAAAAAGAAAAAACGCAAAAAGGGAAAACACATAGGAGGTGGTGGCCGCTTCCTGTGTTGATACTCGGGGGGCTACGCTTTTCATAACGTCAATCATCTTGTAGTTGCAGAGAGCCCTAGATGTCATGACAGTTTTGAATCGCATGCATTAGCATGTAAGGGAGTTACATATCTTGCATGCATGCTGTCTTCTGTGTTTATATATTCGATGCCATGAAGTTGAAGGGCATGTGGCTAAAACCTTTTTACTACATGAAATTTTACAACACTTTTGAAAACAATTCAATGTGGTTTATGCGCACTGTAATATTTCTCCAGATAATTGTCCAAAATTTCCCATAGAGAAGGCTTTTGTCCTCATTAGTTGCTGGCCTCAACCTAACCATCTAGGATATTAAACTGCTACCAGAATTTTACATCCAGCTACCTTTACTTTTTAGAACGTATTCTCTATAATGTTATTGATACCAATTTCTACTTCACACAGATGGTTTTTTACAACAGCAAGTAAAGGTTTTCTAGCATCAGTTTTTAAAAGCCCTTCGCTGAGTGAAATCTGAATGTCTTTCCTACGCCCTTATTATCTGTCCAGCCATCTTCGCCCTCCCCCACCCGTCACCTGTGCCTTTTCCTCTGTACAACCTACCCCAGTTCCCCGACCCCCACCTCAACCCCCAACCCCGTGTTGGTCACCTTCCCAGCCCAGACCAGGAGCCCCCTTGGACCTCTACCGGGTGCTAAGGACACAGGATGAAAGCGCCAGGTCCCTGCCAACAGAGAGCTCACCACTTTGTCCATGCCTTAGTATAGGACCCCTGAATGGCACCTATGGGGACACAGAGAATCTCTGGACAAACTTCAAAATCAAATCAATGAATGCATGAAGAACAAAGGTAGATAGCTAGCAGATATGAAGAAACCCAATCCCACTCCTAAGAAATGGAAATTGAAATAATAAGATACCATTTTTCCACAGCTAGATCTGGAAAACTAAAAAGCGTTAGCCTGAATGTAAGAAAGCATCAGAGTTGCTGCAAGCATAGATAGATGCTAATATGTCTAAAGATTTTTATCAAAATGTAAAGTGCAAAAAAATGTAAAACGCACATATTCTTAGTCTCAGCAATTCTACTTTTAGAACTGAACTTGAAGTTATAGTGCACAAATGGTACTAAGATATTGTATAGAAATTTTATTTTATTTCTTGAAATAAAGGTAGTAATATTTTTTTATAAACTGGGATCCACCTAGTTTATCATTGAATGGAGCTATTTATTATATGGCTGATGGTGTATCAGTAAGGCACAAGGCTATGAAGATTGTAAAACAGAGTGAGGAAGGGAGCAGTGGCTCCCACCTGCATTCCCAGAGCTTTGGGAGGCCAAGGTGGGTGGATCACTTTGAGCTCATGAATTCAAGACCAGCTTGAGCAACATGGTGAAACCCGTCTGTACTAAAAATACAAAAATTAGCCGGGCGTGGTGGCACACACCTGTAATCTCAGCTACTTGGGAGGCTGAGGCTAGAGAATCCCTTGAACCCTGGAGACAGAGTGAGCCAAGATCACACCACTGTACTCCAGCCTGGGCGACAGAGCAAGACTCTGTCTCAAGAAGAAAAAAAAAAAGAAAAACAGAATGAGGTAGATCTGTAAGTAATTCCCCAATTTATCTTTTCTTTCCAGATGTATGTATCTAAGTGCCAACTTGAATGTCAAGCAAGCATCTGAAATTTAACAAGTAGAACTCTTCTTCTCCCCTTCTTAATTCCCCCTCAAGAATTGGCAGCACTGTCCACCCATGAGCTCAAGCTCATGACCCAGTCCTTGATTTCTCTTTTCCTCATCCTTCTTTGTATACCCCAACAACAGGCCTTCCAGAGGGACCTAGTATCCGTCCCTCTTTCCAGCTGCATCCCTACCATCCTCATCCAGTCTCCATCCTCTCTAGCTCCTCACTCCATTCTTGCTACCACACCCAGAACGATCTTTTTAAAATGTAAATCAGATTTGACTTCTGTTTAAGCACGTCATTGTTTTCATTGCTTTCACCTGAGCCACAGTGACCTTGATCCTTTTTTTCTGGCCAGATCTCCTACCACTGCCATGACCCACTGCTGCAATCACAACAAGCTATCAGCCTGGGAGTTTTCCCTGACCTATGTACTGTGTCCCTGCCTCAATAGCTCCGCCCTGATCTTCACTTGACTGGCTCCTGCTGTCACTTGGGTCTTAGCTACAATAATGTTGGAGGCCGAAAGATTGAGGGTCGTGATCAACTCAGTATACCACTGAAGGCTGTATGAGTAAACAGCAAACTGTTCTCATAAATGCATAATGTTGGCAAACTGACAAACTGAGTATGCCACCCAGAAGGAATGCTGAGGGCAGTCACGCCCCCTCAGTCTTTCAGCTTCCAACACAGTAACCTCTCTTCAGAAAGACTAGCTCTCATCACCCAGTCTATCTTCCTTGTTAATCATTGTTCCATCACCCCGTTATACCATCTTAATAGCCCTGGCCCCTTTCTGAAAATATCTTTATATATTTGCTCATATTGAATGTCTTTCTTGCTTTCCCTAACTCGTAACTGAAGTCCCCATTCTCTTCCAGAAAATGATGAGAGGTCTAGGATTAGAGTTGGGAATTCAGGTCAACCTGTCTGTGCCATCGAACATGACCTAGAGTAACCTTTAATCATATATGTGCCAAACTGTTCCAACACCCTTGAAGAAAGAGGACTCCAAATGTGGCCAAATTATTTTAGCAGCATATTACTAACTAGAACTGCATCAAAGAAAATCTTTTAACATCTTATAGCCCTGATTATAAGGCCTCTTGCCTCACTGTACTTTTCTGTCTTGAAGCTTTAATAAAATCAAATTGGAGGGCCTGACGCGGTGGCTCATGCCTGTAATCCCAGCACTTTGGAAGGCCGAGGTGGACAGATAACGAGGTCAAGAGATCGAGACCATCCTGGCTAACATGGTGAAACCTCGTCTCTACTAAAAATACAAAAAAAATAGCCGGGCGAGTTGGCACACCCCTGTAGTCCCAGCTATTCAGGAGGCTGAGGCAGAAGAATCACTTGAACCCGGGAGGTAGAGGTTGCAGTGAGCCGAGATTGTGCCACTGCAACCAGCCTGGGCGACAGAGTGAGACTCCGTCTCTAAAGAAATAAATAAATAAAATCAACATTTTCCTGAACATTTTTCATTTGTGATACCAAAAAACTAAAGCAAAACCCATTACAGGATGTTTCACCTGTATCTTGGTAATTACTCATTTTCATAAAACCCTGGGATGTGTTATGAAAATTTCCAAAAATAGAATAAAGAAAACATGTTTAGGTAAGTCGGACTCAGTGCTGAAATGGAGCAATGAGGTAGTCCTTGGTTACACTGTTAGTGAAAGTACAAACCAATGCCTACCTTTCTAGTAAGCAATTCTGGCCTCACTTAACAAGATCCTTAAAAGAGTTTTTCATCCTTCTGCCTTTCAACCTAGTAATTATCACCTTGAAGTAAGGTCAGAACTGCAGAAAATGACTTATGTACCAAGACATATAAGGACTTATGTACATCAGAATATTTATAAGTGTGAAGAAATTAGAAACAACCTCATTCCCAACAATAAGGAAGTAACAAATAGCATAGGATATATGGGTATATTTACAGCATTAAATGTGATGTGGTTAGGGGGGAAAAAAAGAATGGAAAGGAGAACACAAAAATATTCACCGTTATCTCTGGAGATGTACTTTTGGCGATTCTTATTATCTCCATTATATTATGTGTATTTTTCAAGATTGAGCATCTTTTCTTTTTTAATACCAAGCAGGTATCATTAATGCTATTCTCCATACAGTTTTGGCTTTCTGCCTTCCAACCATATGGTAAGAATGAACATCCAGGCTCCTTTATGGTTGGGTAGGTCCATATGCTTAGTTCTGAGTTGTGAGTGGAAGTGACAAGTATCATTTCTGGGCCAAAAATTTAATTACCAGTTAAAGACCCTGCAAAGCTCTTTTCTTTCTCTGGCATGACATCTAGCAGTAGTAGAGATGGTGGCTGCCATGAGCTCGGGTCCTTAAGTGTTTACCATGAGCAGAGCTCTTTTTGTTGAACCATCAATGGCCATGTAGCTTGAGGAAGGAATAAATGTGTGGTGTTTTAAGTCTCTGAAATTTAAAAAGATTTAACATTTAAAAAATTTAAATTTTAAACATTTTCACATCAGCATCACATAGCCTATTCTGATTGATACAGAAATTGGTATTCTGAAGTAGAGTACTACTATGGCCAAGAGAAAAACACACAATCCAAACACTACTTGAAATACATGGCTTTGGCTTAGAGGCCAAGTGGCAGATAATAAGAGAATAGACATCAGAGATTAGAAGGAGGTGACCCACATTATGTAGTATAAAAGTACTTTGTAAAACTGTCATGTGATAGCTTGGAAAGCAGATAATGTACCTAATTAGTTTGTGGTTTTGGGAGTTTTTTTTTTTTAAAGTATGGAAAGCAGAAAGTTACTAGCATTTGTCTGTTATCATTGAGTGCATTTAACAAAGTAATACAAGAAAGAAATGACTTTAGACAAGAACTGACCGGTTTGAAAGCAGGAATGAAAGGGAATAGAGAAAATCCAGAAATGTGAACTTCCAAGTTATGGGGTTGGAAGAAACATTTCTCATTCCCAAATAATAAACGATAAAACCAAGAAACCTGTTGAATAACAAAGACTGATTAGAACTCCGGTTTATGGCGGGGATCAAATCAAGGTGTAAATCTCTAAATAGATTAAGATATCTCGGAGTGAAAACACCAATTAAGGTTGTGGAATACAGTAAACCCTTTCAATTGGACAAAATAGCTCAAGGAAATGAAAGCAAAAGTGTGGCCTGATAGACCCAAAGTATTTGTAATTAAATGAGGAGAGTGAAAGAAGCATGAGGCTAAGAAAGCAGAGAATAGTAGCAACTCTAAAAAGTAAGTCTAGAAAAGAACTGTGGATGTGTAAGCTTGCCGGAATAAAATAGACAAGATGCCTATTGAGTTTTTCCATTTTACCAGCTAAATAACCACTACTCCAGACTAAAGAGAACATGACTGTTCAAAACTTTA